CCGGCAGGGCGAAACGTTGGGCAAGTTTGCTTACTCCGCACGCCTCTGTTCGCCTAGCAGTAAGTAGGAACCTGGTCATTAGTCGATTGGCGGATCGACTTTACTGTGATAATAATAAACCCTTAAAAAAATAACTTGGTCACTTAATCCATGATTGTTTGTGGGAAACTGCTGTGCGCAATTGGCTGTCACGATTCGCCCACAAAACATACAGTCAACTCACTTTACAGTATATTCTGTGAAGTGCTTTGAGATGCCTCGAAGACATGATAAGGCACTATATCAAATGCAAGAATTATTATTATTATACCCAGCAAAGGAGAATGAAGAGGGGCAACTGGAAAGATTGTCTAATTTCACTAGGATTTAATCTGTTTTAAATTTTGTATATTGAATCTAAACGAATTAAGTTACTCGGCAAAAATAAAAAATACATTGAGAAAATGATTTTTGCTGATCAAACATTGTTCACCCTCAGAAAAGCTGCTGGAGGAATAACGGGGGAGGGGGGGGTTCTCACAAGATTGCAAGACAAAGATGCCTTTCAACTCATTTGATCTCCTCCTTCCAGAATGCCTACGCTACAGGCTTCCCGTTGCAGCTTCGAGCTGTTTCTGAAATGTGCCCAGCATCCTCAGCATCATCCTGCTTAGCGTTTTAAGTAAAATTTACTACCTGGCAGTGGGTCACTGACCCATGCGGAATTAATTCTGGTCTGTGCTGACTTACCAGATCTCAGCCAAGGCTAAAGTGCTCCAATTGACCTCACTGCCGTAAGCTAGTCAGAGAAAAATCAGGCAAGGTTTCCTGCACCTGCTCCAAAATGTGGATGCATGGATTTCGGGTACAAAGTGCCCCTTGGTCAAAAAGCATCCTGATGCTGACTGTCTGTCTCTCTCGACTCTCTTCCCCCTCCTCGCTCCCTCCCTTCCCTCCCCTCACCCTGACCATTTCCCCCCTCCTCGCTCCCTCCCTTCCCTCCCCTCACCCTGACCATTTCCCCCCTGCTCGGGTCATGACCCAACTGTGCAGCGCCTTGGGACGTCCTCCTGACGTGAAAGGCGCTTTATAAATGGAATCTTGTTGTTGTTGTCTGGGCTCCGTGTCTAGACTTACAAATTGCTACATGGACGGTATAATGGAGGGCATTGATGGAACCATATCCAACCTGAATAAACAACTTTGGAAGAAGAAATTCGAAGTGGGTGAAAAAATAAATGAAATTGCCTGATAAAATTCACTGACCAGGTTCTTACGTTGAGAATGGCCATTTTGATGAGGTGGGATCAATGTAACTGGTGAATTCAGTCGATTATCAAAAGGCTTGAGATTGGAAGGTTTTAATCTGGCTCGTTCACTAAACCTTTCATCTTCTGAAGTTGATAATAAAATCTTCCTTATGGGTAGGATAAGTGGAGTTGCCCTGGGGTTGAATTTCCTCAAAGGAGACAGACTTTATGAAGTTACAGTATTAAAAAGAGTAAGTAACCTTTGAGGTAGCTGGCACAGTGGTCAGGTCTGCATTAAATATGTAGAAAGACCCGTGTGGCTCAATCACTTGGAAGTGTAGGCATGTCCCCAACTCTGTGAGCACTCACAGCGAAAACATGGGGAGGAAAAATAAACATAACCAAAGCTATGAAGTTACAGTATTAAAAAGAGTAAGTAACCTTTGAGGTAGCAGGCACTTTTGACTGTCATTGGGATTTTACACAAGAAAATAATAAAGTCGGTCATTCACTTCATGGTTTGTTGCTGTACACAAATTGATTGCCACATTTGTCATCGAAATACATTCACTACACTTTACAATGAATCCTCTGAGGTGCTTTTGAGTCTTCCTCTGATGTGAAAGGCACTATACCTTAAGGATTATTATTATTATTATAATCATTTGTGGGCGTTTCACCCACAAATTATATGTCAATTCACTCTACAATATAGTCTGCAAAGCGCTTTGAGACGTCTCAAAGATGTACTATATCAAATGCAAGGATTATTATTATTAAGTCTTTCACCAACCTATTTTGTAACATTTTCCAAACATTTTCCAGTGTTTGATGCTCCTTTGAAAAGCAGTCCCAAGTCCTAGAACACAGAGGCAGTAGCTGGCTAGCAGCTCTGTATAATTATGCATTTCTGTACCATCCCCTGGATTCCCTTTATTTGCGGTGCGATCTCTTGAAAACAGTGCCTCTGAATATTGTGTACATCTATGTAAAACTGATCCATAGATCAGAGGCACAATATGCTCAAATGCAGGCTGCTTTCTTTCCTTTCATTAAAAAGATCTGTTTTAAGTTGATTGTTTACCTAATTAATGTAATGATCTCTTTATTTATTATTGTTCAATGTACCGAGTAACTACAGTAAGACTCTTCTTCCCATAAACAGTGTTGAAATAAGCATCTACACAGCTCCACAGTGCCCCCAGACATAGAACAGCAAGTCCACTGAAACATCATTATTTCAAATGTACAGGTTTGTAATAATGCACACTCAGTTAGTTTATTTTTCCTTCTTTTCGCAATGAGTCATTTGACTCCTCCCAATCCTTGCCTTTCTTATGTAAAATTCCAGTGATATTCACAGCAATTTCTAAGCACTAGCCTCAAAGGCTACTCTGTACACCCCCCACCGTGTGCTGCATCAACATGCGCACTGGGGTCCAAGGCAACTTTCCTCCTCAGCCTTAAGGTCACAGACATAAAATAGAAGGTTGGACAGAATTTTAGAAACAGCTTAAATTTGGAATTAGTTTTCTGAAGTTTTCAAAAAAATAACTGTGGTAAACCGGCTTCCGAATCAAGACTGAATTTAAGTGCCTTCCCAAATTTTGCACAATATTACATTTTAAGATCAAAGTCATGAGTTTTAACCCATGAGAAATTTCAGGCCTTCGGTCTCCCCCTACTTTTACCTCCACAACTCAGCCACTGCTCTCACAGGTGCGACACCAGCACTCTTGAAACACTTGGCTGAATGGATCATTTCAACTGTGCTGTGATGCGTGGCATCATCAAAGCAAAGTGCCTGGTGGAATGGGCAGGTATAATTTCTCATGGAAGCAAAACAGCTACAAGAAGCTTCCATTTAATCGCAATTACCATTTTCCTTTTGAATCTTTACAGCTTGGCTAAGTCACTCAAAGCAGGAGAGGAAGAGAGAGGTAAGTACTTCATCAGCGCAGGCACTCGAGCTTTGAGATGCTAAACAGGAGCGGATTAGGAGGGGACACACATTCCTTTCATGGGGTGGGAAGCCAGGGAGAATGACACCTTGTGCTCACTGGCTTTCTTTTGTTTTTACAAAGCATTTGTTGCCATCCAGTTTACCCACCGACCCCCCTTAACACACCAGCCAGTTAATTGAGTGACAAGCTTTTCAAAGGAGCTTAAAACCTTCAGCTATGAGTGAAAAAGAATCAGGATTCTACACCAATACCTTCCTCTGTGAGGTGTACCCAGGATTGGGTGGGGGGTGATTGCATTGCTTACTGAATGACCACTTGTGCCTCTACAGTTGCAAAGCAACAAGCACACAGGACCATTAAAAAGTCCTTCACTCACTCACCAACTCTCTAACAAGGCAAACCTTGTCTAATCATACAGTCTTAATTGGGAAAACGGGGATGGGGAAGGCTTAGTTCACAACAACAGCAAAGCTAGCTCTTTATTTACTAACCAATGGGTTGTTAATAAACATTCTCCTCCTGACTTCCAAAGCTTTCCTTTTGTACATCAACTGAAGTGCAAAAATACACATGCAATTATTTAACAGGAGGAAAGAAAGCTCATCCCAAAAATGTCAAAGCACAAATGTCTGTGCGTTCTGTTCAGGCCATGTTAAAGGTTGAGTGCAAAGCGAGGGACTGGGATTAAAACCTGTCAGCAGCTGAGGAGATAACAGCAACATGACTGAACACAAAAGATGAGGAATTCTGCTGGTTCCTCACTGGACACTCAGAGGTATCAGCATAACCTGGAGAACAGACTCCCTGTGCTACAGTCCTGGCACAATTACCTTCCCCTCTTTATATTTCAACAGAACAGTGTAACTTTTCCCTGCAGCTCGTCCTAGAACGACATGAAGGAGGAGGCAATACATCTGAGTCATTGATACTGAATCCATGTCAGGAAAGATACGTGACTGAAACATGGGATGTTTATTCGAGCAACAACAGCTATTAGCTGAGGATGCCAACGATGCTCAGGGTTGCCCTGGCCTGTGACTTTACCCCGTGCCCTGGTTTACAACTGGCAGAACGACATTACAGTGCATGCAAGTCACAGGACATCCCCAAAGGTGATGTTAAAATAGAAAACAACCTGCCCCAGATCGCTCAGGTGCGAAAGAGAAACAGAAAAACAATGTTTTCGCTCTTTCAGATGCTGTCTGGGCAACACTGTGGTGCATCTCAGATTTCTGGCATTCACAGCTTTTTGCTTTTAATTGCTTTTATTATTATTATTATTATTGTAATGATTATTTAATTCCCAATGAAAGAAGGGCAGTTGGTTGTTTACCACTTGCTTCAGGCTGGCAGGGTGGGAACTTGGAAACTAAGTTAAAATGCACTGAATTGTACATTTTTTTTAAAAAAAATCATACGTTTGAGATGAAGCCACCCAGTATCACATCAAAAAACTTTCCAACTCCTGATCTGTGCAGAGGCCATGTTACACAATCCCAGCATTGCGATCTTAAAAGATGATCATGATATTATTATTAAAAGCTCTGCAGTAAAGAGAAGAAAAATAAAACCCCCAACACACGCGAGTGCAAGATGCTGATGATAAAATTCAAGAACTTCCCATCCCAGTTACAGAGATCAACGAAAGCATCGTTGGAAAAAATGCTGTGTGTGTAGGTGAACGTCAGCACATTAGAAAGACACCACAGATATCACACTGACACGGTATTCAGCAGCACAGCACAAGCACAGCACAGCACAGCCCTGCAGATACCCAGGTCACACACGATTCTCCTGATCAGCTTACCATGCTGAAGGCATCGGGGTATCCCACAGCCCTCCTGCAGAAAACAAGGATTATTTCCCCTTATTTCGTGCGCATAATAGCACACGGTGCTGTGTCTCATAGCCAGAGCAAGTCGGTCAGTCAGTCAGTCGAGTGCGCAGAGCATCAAGGCAGAAGATCCAGATCTTTTTGCGGACATTAAAGCGATCTTCCCGCAGACTCGAACACTCAGCTCACTCCAAGACTCTCTCTCTCTCTCTCACTCACTCACTCTTTTCTCTCTCTCTCTCCAGCTAAATGAATGGGAGGCAGCAGCCAATGCCTGTCCGCCTCGGAATGACAAGCACACATGTAGTCTAATGCCGGGCTGTACCAAAACGAGAAGGGGATCCAGCTTATCATCTTACACACACACCACTTTTGGACACAAGATGTACCTCCAGCTGTCAGTGGCTGCTGGATTGGTGCCGGCTGCCTTTTCCCTCTCTTCCCCATGAACCGGACCGGTGGCGGCACTCCGGTGAATGGCCGCGGGGTTTGATGCCGTTTAAGGTCCCGGATGGTCCAGGGGGATTGTGTTATAGTCTCAGAATTATAGTTTCGAAAATCTGCGGTCTCAGACCAAGTGCAGAGCAGTCTCGGAAGATCATCAGTGAAATCAGTACCGTTGGATCGGTGACATTGTTGGTGCCACATAGTCAGCTTTAAGTTCATATTTCGAACATCGCTCCCAGGGTTTTTCTGTCTTAACCTTTTAACGAGATAATACTGATCTCATTGGTGTGTCATCCTTTTGTCACTACTCCATAAAAGCATCTTAGCACTCACTGTTTGAAGGGGAGAGAGAGTGAGTGTGTGTGTGTGAGTGTGTGTGTGTGTGGGGGGGGGAAGGTGGTGGTGGTTTTGTCAGTTATATAAACAGAGTCGAGTTTAGTTGGGCGATCTGTGAGGTGGACATTTTACTGCGACTGACCTCCTCTGCCCCTTAACACGTTATTAAGAGTTGAATTCAAAACTATGGAGCAGATTGCAAAGATCACACTGCCCCAGGTTTGCTGTCCATGCACTGAATTTTACCCTGCCTGCGAATGTGACAAGAGCTGAAGCCCAGCTTTTAAAATGATCTTTTCCTGACCTTTCCTGGAATAATAATAATTCAACGCCTTGGGACATCCTCCCAACGTGAAAGGCGCTATACAAATGTAATCTTTTTGTGGTTGTTGTTGTCATAACAATCCTGGTATTTGATATAGTGCCTTACCACGTCGTCGAAACGTCTCAAAGAATATACTGTGAAGTATAGTGTCTGTAGATTTTGTGGTGGAAAAGCCAATTGCACACAGCAGTGACCCACTCACAGTTGTGGATTTAGTGACCAAATTATTATTACTTATTATGTTTTGCAATACAGGACCAGAATGCATTCAGGGCCAGAAGAAAACACCGTAGTTAACAATAACAACTTGGATTTATATAGCACCCTCCATGCCGGACTGTGTCTCCCCAGTAGTCCATCGGACCCCAGTTAAAAAAAAAATTAATTTAAAAAAATTCCTACATTATGTTTTGGGTGTAACATAAGAGTTTTAAATTTGAAATTGTTAGTTTAGTAATTATTGAGGTGTGTTGGAGATGCCCCCCCTCACCCACCACCACACACATTGCTCTCGATGCTGACATGCGTGAAGCCAGGTTGCGTGTAGTGCTGTATAGTGGTTTTACACTGTTTCATGTTTAGCACAAATCCATCTCTCCTGCTCACCAGCAATCGAAGGTCACCACCAAAAACTGGAGTGCGGCTCAGATTCCTGGGTATCAGCATTGAGAATAGTGTTTGAAGAAGGGGCTGGCTGGCTGCTTCTGGCTCACTCTGTTCATTCCTGATTGATTCATTCTGAATTTCTAAACTTAAATAGCGTGTTAGACCCCAATCTCTCACATCGCTCAACTGATACCTTTATCAAATTGTCCCCACTAATTTCCTCCTAAATATGCTACAGCCATCTGTTTGCCTGCAACTTGCCCGAGAAGGCAATGCAGCAGCAGTACCCTTTTAGGCAATTGATATCTGAACCCTCCGTGAGATAAACTGCTTCAGTCGAGTTTGTAAAGAAGTTCTCTCTCAAACCATTCTGGCCATTTGCCAGCCTCACATCCCTGCAGACTGACTGATCAGGCTGCAAATGTCAGGAGCACAGAGCTCTTTTTTTTTAGCAACTGAGGCTGATGTGCCATTTCTTGTTATTTTTATTTAAAGTTATCACAGTCTGTGCCGATCATCAATCTGTATGGTTTAGAGGTGGAAAACTGTTCTTTTTCATTCATTCTGACAAAGGTCGAATGTGGCCCCGTCTCTGCATCGTCTGCTTAAAACACTGTCAGTATATAAAGCTCTTGGTTTCTTTCACCATGGAAATGAACCATGCGATACACCATCAGAGGGGAGAACTGCGGTCAAAAGTTTTCTCTTTGGGACCCTATGTTATGTTGCCCTGTGACCACGATTGAAGCCGAGTAAAGTCCTATGTGATCCATGTTATTATCCTTCCAGCTAATCGCAAACAGGCTTAAGGTTTTGGGGGCTGCCAGTGAATAATGGAGTGAAAAGTTAAACATTCTTTCAAATGTAAAACCACTGGAATGAATTGGTGAATAGGTTCAGTTAATGTGGGATTCGGATAAGAACCTTCAGTATGTGTAAGGGACAGTAGCAAAGGGGGAGGAACTCATTGATGAAAAGAACAGGGTTTGGGGCAGGGGCAAATCAGACTTTTTTTCAAAGCTCTCCTTTCAGAACTGCTTCCATAATTGAACTATTCAATCCAGAAATCCACTTTCAATCTGTTTGTGAGGCTCCATAATGAGGCTCCCTCTTTAATACCAATAGAGTTCGTTCTGGAGGTAGTTTGCATAATTTGTTGAAAAATCTTAGTTTCAATGCAAATGCCACCTTTTTCCACACAGAAAGGGGGAGGTGGAAGAGATTGAGACCTTCAATCTGCGAGGAGAAAGGGAGAGGAATGAAATGCTTGCCAACTGTATAAACACAACTGTGCAGCTGGCCATTCACAGATAGCCTCCATAGCACTCCTTTCTGTACACATTCCAATGTAGTTTATTTCTTGCCTTTTATTAGAAATGAGTATTAATCCTCAGGGGGACAAAAGTAATTTTATTCAGTAAAACATTTCAGGAAATACTTACTAAGCTCTGGAGAAATGAAAGAGGAATGAATATTGTTACTGCACTGTCATTTAATATCTTGGCTAATTCCAGACTGACAACAGGCTCATAGGAACGATGTTAGATGGCTTTTGGTAATCCTATTTTCCATCAAAGAAAAAGTTTTCAGCTTACTCAGGGAATTGAAACACTGTTAATCTGTTACTGCATTTATGCCCCCTTTCAATATTGCTGGGTGAGAATTGGGTTAAATCGCAAAGGGATTTGCCCCCATCACTTGTGCAAATACAAGTCAACAACTGCAGATGAATCCCATTCAACAACAACAACTTGCATTTATACAGCGTCCTTCACATGGGGTAGGGTCCCAGAGCACTTAGTAGTGTCTCAATGGTGGAGAGCTTGCGTCACTGGTATAGAGTGGACACTGAAACCAGGGCTCATGTTTGACTCATGTGGAATGTAAGCACCAGCATGGACAAGTTGGCCGAATAGTCTGTTTGTGTCCTGTCTAAGTGGGGCTGGTCAGCCATGAGATTTAGTTTCTGCTTAGAACAGTAAGCGAGAGTCACTGTTCCTCTGTGAAGCACGTCACCAGTCCCATTACTTAAATCAGAAGGAGGTCATGAGGTGAGCTCTGCACAGGAACTGCAAATCTACCAGGGTATCATTTATCCATTATTCTCTGAAGGAAAAACGTTGTACCAAAACAGCTGCCAAAGGAAAGTACGGAGTGGCTCAGCCCATAGGAATAAGAAAGAACTGATCAAAGCAAAACCTAATAATTAAACAAAGAATAGAAAAGGACTGAAAATAGTGAAATAAAAATTATTGAAGAGACTGAATGATATAAGGCATTATATCAAATGCAAGGATTAGTATTATATTTTGTCCTTCTTATCATGTGTTAAATGCAAGTCCAGTTTCTGGAATTTGCAGAGAAATTCTCAGCAGAGTTACTTGCAAATCCTAAGTCAGTGAAGCTGGAAAAAAAAAGGCTGATGTCTGTGGAATTACATCATATTGTAAGGGAAAAAATGAGTCAAATACCTTAAGGAGAGGAGGCGAGGACAGGTGAAAAATAATTCTAAAATTTTAGGCCTCATTCTGTCCTGCATTAAACAACAGTGGAGCCTGATATTTGTGGGGTGCTCAGGTCCCTGATGATTGGCAATCTATAGATTTTGTTTTACGTATTGTAGAAATTAAGAAAATAAGTTGTATTATTGTGCCTTCTCATGTCAAAACGTCTTAAAGCATTTCACAAATAACTCGATTGCCAATGACTCATTTTGTAGATTATTTATACTTTAAAGAAACAGCCATGAGGTGAATGAACTATTCATTTGGAGGATTGTTTGCCTGGACACTGAAGCAAACAATCTCCTTTAAATAGTGTCATAGGATCTTTAACATCCAACTGAACAGGTAGGAGGGACTTCAGTTGAACATCTCATCTGAAAGACTTTGTACATGGTGATCCATTGTTGTGCTGTTTCCATGATGATGGTGTCTATACCAAAGCTGATGTATTTATTAAAGCTTTACCATTATGGTAGTAACATGGCATCTTCCAATTGTATAAATTTGTATTGTATTGTGGGGAAATATCTTTAATAAAATATTAATATTCCTGCTTTTTCCTTCTCCAAGGCAATAAAGAGGAAAATCCTTCACCACTATGCATTCTGTTAGGAGAGTAAGAATCCTCCAGAGTTCAATCTGTGATGGATTCACTCTAGATTTAAACATGTGTCAGTAACTTAAGGTTAAAAGTACCAATAGGTACATATAACAGGTTGTGTTTAGTTCTGGTCATTTCGGAATCCACTGTTGGTATATTTTAGATTTAACCTGATTTCTTTCCCAATGTCGTTAGACAAACACAGCACAGCTCTCCAACCCTAATTGAGACAACTAAGAACAACAACTTGCATTTATGTAGCGCCCTTCACCCAGGATAACATCTTGGAGCACTGTAAAGGAATGGATGCTGAAGGAAGGGAGGTGACCATAGGTGCAGTAGAAAGTTCACCCACAAATATACAGTCAATTCACTTTTCCAGCATATTCTGTGAAGCGCTTTGAGACGTCTAGAAGATGTGAAAAGCACTATAACAAATGCAAG